GCTGGGCAGCGATTTCTTGGCGCGCGGTGGGGGGGGGTCTCTTTTGGCCGGCCCCGATTTTTTTTTCAGAGGGGAATATCATGCCTGTATTATACTTATTTTTTTGAATTATTTTTCTTTTCTTTGGTTGTTTTTTTAAGTCTTAAATTCTCCATTCTCTTTCCCCCCTTTCCTTTTTCTTCCCCACCTAAAATTACTTGTTCATTAAAGATGGCTTCTTCTTTGTCCCAGTCTTCTTGTTTTGCAGACGTTTCTCATAGTTCCAAATCTCCATTTCTTTTTTTTTTTGAACAAATTTTATTAATTTTTAAAGACATACAAAACATAAATACACAAACACACAAAACATAAAAGCATAAAAAATCTCTTTTCTGAAAGTTGCTTGGTCCCGGGTTAAAACTCTTGGTACAGACACAAATTCAAATTCATATTCATTTTATATACCATTCCATATCTTATTAGTATTTTCAATTTTCTATATAACTTCTCCTCTCTTTTAAATTTTCTCAATTTTATTTTATGTATCTCTTCTCAATTTGAATCATAATATTTATTATTCTTTGTCTGTTCTATTTCCAGCTATCCATTTATCTTTCTTCTTTAAAAAAAAAAAAAAACTTCTCCTGTACACTAAATGGAGTACGATGCCTTTATCTCTTTCCCCTATATTTATAATACTTAATATAAAACACATAGCTTACATTGGGATTCTGTCTGGTACATTCTAAAATTATACAGTATTATCAAAACCAATACAAATCTATTCATTGATATTGATATTCATATCTTAAATATTTAGCACATTACTTTTCAGTTAAATCACATACTTTTATGGGAGCACCTATTTTCCATAGTTATTCCCCCCCACATCACATATTATAGATCATTATTTCATTACGATGTTCCCCCTTCTTCTACTTCAAATCTCTCATTTCTCAAAAAGTTTCACTAGGATAACATAGTCTAATCATTAATATTAACAATCATTTATATCTTAAACATTTTACCCATTTCAATTAAATATCATGCCTTTGTGGGAACACTTATGCTTTCCAAAATTGTTTCCCCGCCCCCACATCACATATCTTAAATCATTGTTTCATTACAGTACTCCCCTTTTCTTAACAAAAATTTCACTAGATTATACTAAATATTTTATCACATTTTAAATTACATATTATTTCCAATTTTCTATAGTTATTTCTAAATACAAATATAGAAATGCAATCTTATGTACCTTTCTAGAATCCCTTTTTCAATAAAAAATTATCCATTATCTCTAAAAAACTTTTGCTTCTTTACATCTTGCTCCCCACCATTAAGGCTTCTCATCCCTTCCTTTCTCCCTTGCTTCTTCTTCTCCTTGTCCTCTTTACCCCCTTGTCTCTCCATCTCCCTTTTATTCTGCTTTCCCCCTTTCTGTTGTTTCCTAACATAATATCCCCTTTTCACCTTATTCTTCTCTTTTTGGGTTGTTTTTCCAGATCTTAAAGTCTTCTTTTCCTTTTTCTCTTTCTTTTTTCCTTCTCCGACCAAAGTTATTTGTTCATCAAAGATGGCTTCTTCTTTGACCCCATCATCCTGTTGCTCATTCAACTTTACATAAGTACAAACCGCCATTTCTAAAAATTGAAAAAGAGTGCCAAGGACATCTTTCCCTTCTTGCTTTTCTTTTTCATATTTTTGATATACAAGTTTCAGTCCATCCACAAGTGATGCCATTATGTAGAGAAAAAGTTTTTCCAAACAACCACCCAAGTGCTTTTAGTCAGAAATAATTCTCAGAAATTCCAAAATCACCACACAATCCAAACAAGCTGTTCCTTTTAAATACTTTCTCCTTCACTTTCTCTTTCTGGGGTTAAAGTTTAGTCACAAAGTTCCCTTTAAAATATATCTTTTAGAAGTCTTATTGATGTTTAGTAACTCTTTAGAATTCTAGGCAATCTTCTTATTTTCAAATTTTGCTCCAATTTTTTTTCCCTCTCCCTTCCCACTCACAGCCAAAAAGATTTTTTCCATCCGCTGTCACGTTAGGAAGGAGAGTGAAACGAAAAAAAACAACAACTTTCCCTTTAAGAATATTCACAGCTTGTAACTCTCAATGGAAACAATGTATCCTTAGCAGCCTTCAAGCCTCCAGGGCACTTTCTCTTGCCTTGTCCCGGTTGAAAGCAACTTTCGTAATTCTTCCAACTTTCTCCCTCCTGCTCCTGCTTGTCCGGCTTCAGATTTCTTCGTGGCGGCCATTGCTGACCGCCGCTCCTCCGCCTTGGGAAAAGGGGGTTCTGCCGGCTGGGGAGGGGGTCTGCAACACCCCCAAGCCCCTGTCCGGATCCCCCCTGTCTTCAGCTGCCTCTACGGGGCAGCTATATCCCCCAGATCCAAACGGATCGGGGGAACCTTGCCGAACGCAGCAGGGATCGCGCAGTATCGCGAATCCCTGCCGCTGCCGAAACCTTGCAAACCGGAACCCCAAATCTCCATTTCTAAGAATTGAAAAACGAAGCCAAAAGAACCCTTCCCTTCTTGTGCATCTTTGTACTTTTTAAGTTCCATTTTCAATTCATCCAGAAGTGGTGCCATTGTATAAATTTTTAAACAACCACCCAATTAATTTTAGTCATTGAAATGTAATAACCAAGAATCCAAAGATCACCAAATAATCCAAATACACGCAAGCTGTTTCTTTTTGCTCTTTTTTTTCACTTTCTCTTCTTGGGGTTACTGTTTAGTTACAAAGTTTCAGTTAAAATGTATTTTTTAGAAGTCTTGTTGAAGTTTTACTGTAGATTCTTTTTAATTCCAGGCAGTCTCCTCCCTCTTCCAGATCCTGCCCTTATTCTTTTTCTCTCCCTTCCTGCTTATGAAAAAAAAAATTTTAGTGTCCAGAAATCTTTATTATCCCTTTGGCATTTTATTTTATTTTCAGCTTAATTGCCTATTGATGTTAAAGCGGATTTTTCCGATTTCTTATTTAAGTCTCTTAGTTGTCAGTATAGGGAAGGAGAGAGAAGAAAAAAAAAGCCAAACCTTTCCCTTTTCACTTTCCTTTGCTGCTTCCAACTCTTCTTTGGGAGCGATGTTATTAAATGTAAGTTTAAATTCCAGGGTACCTTAGTTGTTGCTTTTACAATTTAACCCAGTCAGCCAAAACTTTCACTTCTTATCTTCCTCCTGCACGTTCTTTTCTGGTCGAGTTCTTTGTGGTGGCCATTTCTGACCACCGCTGCAACTGCCTTCGGGAAAGGGAGTAATGGCCAGCTGAGGAGGAGAGATGCGGCTCTCCTCAACCCTGCTGGCGGTCTCCCCGCTCTTCACCCACCTCTACAGGGTGGCTTAGCCTCGAAATCAGCCGGCTCGGGGCGCTCCAGCGGCGAGCCTAGACCGAAACCGCGCACGATCACGGATTTCTGTCTGTCGCCAAAGAGACTTCAAACTGGTGGTTTATTCAGTAAAGTTTTATACTCTTGGTAAAAATACTCTTTTTCTGGATCCACCAACTGGACAGTGGACACTTCCCTCCTGTGACAATAGCTTTAATACTGTCAAATGTGTACATCTGCCTATCCCAGGTCCTTAGGAAGGAGTTGATAGGTGGCCAAAAATGCCAAATCGAGTCTGAATATTGGCTGGCCGTGCAATGAACCATGAGAAGAAGAATACAAACTGGCTGTGAATGACACTTGGCTGAATGCTGGCAGATTGAATTGGATTTGTTTATCGACTCCTTTCCTCTCTGGCTTAGGTGTACAAAGATAATCAACGCGGATTCCGAGGACCCCAAGTATATTATCAATGTTAAACAATTTGCCAAGTTTGTGGTGGATCTCAGTGATCAAGTGGCCCCCACCGACATTGAAGAAGGAATGAGAGTTGGGTGAGTTGGCTTTAATCTCCCTGGGATTGAACTAGTTACCGTCTTCGTCTTGTTTTCTTATGGCCACTGGGGTGCAAACTGCAACCCAACTCTTATGATTATTACAACATCTAGCTGGAACTGACAGTGTTAGGGTTTTGGGGATTAACCCCTAGCAGAGTATTGCAGCAGTAGTCAAGCCAGGCAGCCAAACGAGAGTGGAAGGGCCTCAGAGTATACACACACTGAACACAAACACTGTTTGTAGTTTAAATAGTTTTTAATCCAGTTAGAGTTTAAGCATTGTCATTCAGTCCATTAAATCATTCACAGTATTTCCATCCAGTAAGACTCACTAGTATAGTCCAAGTTAAGAGTCCTTGCAATATCTTTATCAGCCGATAAAGATATCTTCTCCTCCTCCGGTTTCACTCTCCAGAGAAACAAACGCTGGATATTCAGCAAACAGTAGCAAACAAAAACAGTTCAGTCTCAGGCACTCACAGTCAGTAATCACAGTTAGTCGCAGCAGCACACAGT